TCCCTACTCAGCTTGAAGAAGTCAGAGTAGTCCTCGCCCTAACCCTGACAGCAGCCAGGGTTTCCATCAAAAGAGGGATGAAATGAGAGAGCACAGGACTAGAAGCAGGCCAGACTAACTCCATCCTTTCCAGCATCCACACACTAAACAAAACAAAGAGCATTCTTTCCTTTGGCATCCAGGCATTCATCTATCTTTCCACTAACTAGAAAGATTCTTGCTTTCCTGTATCCTCCATTGTCCTCCTCATTTTGGGCATCTTTTCCACAATGGGCAATATTTCTAATTTCTCCTTTTACCCTCAAAATCATAGTGCTCCTATTCATACTATGGATAATTAACTTATTTCAAAAGTCCTTACAGGAGTGTATGACTGCTATATCCCAAGCCATCATGCAGGAACAACACAAGATTGCTATTCAATCAATCTGATCTGGAGTATAGATAACCCACCCCGTGTCAGCAGGTAGTAGCCAGAAAGAAACCAGTGCTCCATTTCCGTATTTATACTGAGATTCATGACCCATGGAACAAGGACATAAGTCTCAGCCATTTTAGGTTCTTGTTAACCCTGCTTTCTTTCAAGAGACCAATTCAGTCTCACACTCTACTGTTCCCCACCTCACCCCTGCATTTTTCTCTAGGCTTGAAAGCCCAAGAAAAACTTGAAAAACCTGTATGCAGAAGCTCATCTCAATCTACTGCCCCTCAAGCCAACCCCTAGCCCACCTAAGATATAAAAAGGCCCAGCCTGCTGGGGTCTGGGCCCTCTACCATGTGTTGGGTCTGTGTGCATGCTGGCAGTTGGTCAATATCTATGTTTATTTTCTTTTAATAAATTCAGTCTGGCTGTGAAAAAAATAAAAATAAACAATGATACCAAGACAAGAACATACTCACTTGTAATAGAATGAAGTTGGACTCTTTACAACAACTGTACTCAATATTTAACTCATCTGAGTCACTGCCACCCATATGGGAGACCTGGATTGAGATCCTGGATTGAGATCATGTTTCAGGCACTTGGAGAATCAAGTAGCAGATGGAGATTGCTCGCTCTCTCTCCCCCCCCCCCTTCAAATTAATTAAATAAATAAAATTTTAAAAAGAAAAAAATCCATCTATAGTAGCATCAAAAAGAATAAAATAAAAATAATTGTGAATATGTTTATAAAGAGATAAAAAAGAATAAAATACTTAAGAATAAACTTACCAAGGAGGTAAAAGAATTGCATACTAAAAACTAAAATACATGAAAGAACCAACTACAACACAAATAAATGGAAAGATATCCCATCTTCCTATAGTAACACACTTGATACTCATTTCTTAAAGATTTATTTTTTATTGACAGCCAGCATTACAGAGAGAAAGGGAGAGATACATACAAAGAGGGAGAAATCTTCTATCTTCTGTATTGCCTGGGTTCAATACCCACCTCTGGCTCTTAACTCCAACTTCCTGCTAGTAAAGACCCCAGGAGACAGTGATAATGTATAAAACACTTGGATTCCTACTGCCATGTGGGAGACCTGGACTGAGCATCCAGCTTCTGGTTTCCAGCTGGTCCAACATTAGACATTGTGGGCATTTTAGGGGTAAACCAGCAGATGGGGTTTCTCACCTCTCTGTTTCTACCTCACAAATAAATAACTTAAAAAATGGTTTACCACAATTAGGTTGTTTTAACAATTAAAAAGTTCATACTTGGCCAGCTCTGTGGCATAATGGATAAAGCCATCTCCTGCAGTGCCAGCATCGCATATGGGCACCAGTTCGAGTCCTGCTGCTCCACTTCCAATCTAGCTCTCTGCTATGGGCTGGGAAAGCAGTGGAGGATGGCCCAAGTCCTTGGGCCCCTGCACCTTCGTGGAAGACCCGCAGTAAGCTCCTGGCTCCTGGTTTTGGATCGGCACAGCTCCGGCCATTGCGGCTAATTGGGGAGTGAACTAGCTGATGGAAGACCTCTCTTTCTGTCTCTCTCTGCCTCTTTTTCTCTCTGTGTAACTCTTTCAAATAAATAAATTAATCTTTTTTAAAAAGTTCATACTTGTTAACATAATTCAAATGAACTGCCTATATGAAAGGGGCATGCAGTAGAAACTCCAGTAGAGCCACACGTTACTAAGATTTCTAAACTATTCCTAAATGCAAATTTGACCTCCTTTACCAAACTTAAAATCAAGCCTTTAGGACAACCTGGTCAAGATCATGTAACTTGTTTCTCCATATTACTCCTAGCTAACTAAAACTAAAAACCTTGGAAACAAGTAAGAGGCACCAAAGGAGAACTCTGAAAGAAGGAAAGAGGAAGACAGATCTACTGAGGACCCCATAACTGGAGGAACATAAGCGATAGGCAGCCTTATGACTCCACATCAATCAGAAGAGACTGGCCCAGGTCTAGTGTTCCTAACCTCCAATCTGGCAATAAACGTCACCCAAGTAGGCACATTCTTTGCCTAGAAGAGCCTTCAATCTGTTGATAGAGTGCTTTGATGAACAAAAGTTTTTAATTTTGAAGACGTCAGAATTATCTATTTCTTTAGTTACTTGTTCTTTTGGTGTCGTGCCAAATAAAATCTGTTGCTAGTACAGAAAGTTTTCTTATAAGAATATTACACGTTTGCTTCTTATATTTAGGTCTTTGATGCAGTTTATTTTATATGACCTGAGATAGCAGTGTAAATGCATTCTTCTGCATACAGATATTCAGCCGTCACAGTACTATTTGTTAAGAAGATTATTCATTTCCCTCTTGAATAGTCTTGATGCCCTTGTTGAAAAATAAATCTGCCATTGATATATGGGCTTATTTCTGGACTCTCAATTGTATTCCCTTATATATGTGCCTCTTTTTATGCCAGTACCACTCTACCTTCTTTATGGTAGTTTTTTTTTTTTTTTTTTTTTTTTTTTTACAGGCAGAGTAGACAGTGAGAGAGAGAGAGAAAGGTCTTCCTTTGCCGTTGGTTCACCCTCCAATGGCCGCCGCGGCTGGCGCGCGGCAGCCAGCGCATCACGCTGATCCAAAGCCAGGAGCCAGGTGCTTATCCTGGTCTCCCATGCAGGTGCAGGGCCCAAGGACTTGGGCCATTCTCCACTGCACTCCCTGGCCACAGCAGAGAGCTGGCCTGGAAGAGGGGCAACCGGGACAGAATCCGGCACCCCGACTGGGACTAGAACCTGGTGTGCCGGCACCGCAGGCAGAGGATTAGCCTAGTGAGCGGCGGCGCCGGCCGTTATGGTAGTTTTGTAGTAAGTGACAAAATCAGAAAGTGTCATTTTAACTTTGTGCTCCTTCTTCAAGACTATTTTGACTATTGAATTTGTTTGCATTGTCATATACATTTTAGGATCTACTTTTCTACCTCTACAAAAAATGATGGTTATAATTTTATCCTTGAATCTCTAGATCAATTTAGGAAATAGTATCATCTTAGCAATAGTAGATTCCAAGCCATGAATATATATCCTTCCATTTGTTTTCTGAGTATTTTGTTGTTGTCAGTGGAAAATCTTGCAATCCCTCAGATTATTTTCAAAGTATTTTGGTATTTTATATTATTATGAATAGTTTATTTAAATTCATTTTCAGATTGTTAACTACTGTTGTATATAAATCTTACTGTTGAACCATTTTATGCAAAGATTTTGCACTCAGGATTTCAACCAACCACAAATCAAAAATATTTGGAAAAAAATGCATCTGTACTGAACATGTGCCAATTTTTTTGTCCTTATTCCCTAAACAATACAGTATATCAACAATTTATATGATTTACATAGTACTTATACTGTATTAGGTATTGTAAGAAATCCAGAGTTTTTTTTTTTTTTTTGACAGGCAAAGTGGACAGTGAGAGAGAGAGAGAGAGAGAGAGAGAGAAAGGTCTTCCTTTTGCCGTTGGTTCACCCTCCAATGGCCGCCACGGCTGGCACGCTGTGGCCAGCGCACCACGCTGATCCGAAGGCAGGAGTCAGGTGCTTCTCCTGGTCTCCCATGGGGTGCAGGGCCCAAGCACTTGGGCCATCCTCCACTGCCCTCCCGGGCCACAGCAGAGAGCTGGCCTGGAAGAGGGGCAACTGGGAAAGAATCTGGCGCCCCGACCAGGACTTGAACCCGGTGTGCTGGCACCGCTAGGTGGAGAATTAGCCTATTGAGCCGCGGCGCCAGCCGAGATGTTTTAATATATATGGGAGGGGCTGGAATTTTGGCACAACAAATTAAGTCACCACTTGTGATACTGGCATCCCATATAGGAATGCCAGTTTGAGTCCCAGATGCTCTGCTTCCATTATAGCTCCCTGCTGATGTGTCTGGGAAAGCAGCCTAAGATGGTTCAAGCACTTGGGCCCCTGACACCCATCTCAGAGACACCAATGGAGTTCCAGGCTCCTTGCTTCGGCCTGGCCCAGTCTCAACTGTTGTGGCCATTTGGGCAGTAAACCAGTGGATAGAAGATCTCTTTCTCTCTGTATCTCTCTCTCCCTCTGTCACTCTGTCTTTCAAATGATTAAAATAAGTATATGGGAGGATGTACATAAGTTTATATGCAAATAATATGCCCTTTTAGATAAGGGACTTGAGTATCTTTGGATTTTGGCATCTGCCAAATGTGCTGAAACAAATCTCCACAGATACTGAGATATAACTGTATTGATAAAATCTTGACATACTGATTGTGAAAATCCAACTCCATTTAGATATTTTGTTGTCTTTAATAATTTTTGGTATGTTATTTAGCTTCTCTATATATGTCTTATCATATACGGCATTGCTTCATTGCCACCCCACATACTTTTAAGTTTACCTTCTTTCCTAATTACTTTGGTAGAGATTCAAGAATAACATTCACTAGAAGTGGTAAGAATCTTAAGGGAAAAGATTTCAGTCATTTACCATTAAATATGTTGTTAGCAGTGGGTTTTTCTTCTTTTTTTGGTGTCTGCATGCCCTAATCAGAAGGCAGTGAGTTCCAGAGTGGACACAGTTTTATTTACACACAGGCAGGGGCTGTTGCACAGCTGAAGTAGGCAGAGTGTTTCACCTGCTCCAGGTCAAAGGTCCTCATCTCAGACACCACCAGCAGCGTCTCCAAAAGCCTGGTGGTGTGGATGTGCTGGGAGAGCTTCTGGGGCCTGCGGCTGGGGCTGGCACAGAACTGCTGCACCAGGAACCTGGATAGGTCCAGCAAGACACGTTGGCAGTGAACTTGCACAAACTGCTCTTGGCACATCTGGTTCATGACAGGGACGTCGGCCACGTGTGTCCAGAAGCAGCTGTGGATGGACACGAAGGTCAGGTTCTTCCTGTAGCAGTGCAGGGCAGTGAGCACCATGTGGGAGGAGTCCAGGGAGTGGATGAAAAAGTTGGGCAGGAACCCATTCTCTGCTTCAGCACCTTGGACTCTGGCTGATATCTGAGCTGTTGCTGCAGGTGATGCCCTAGATCCCACCTTTGACCAGCAGCTTGGAGTTGAGGTGGTAGGGCTGAACGACAGGGATGCCCAGGGGTGTGACCCACACCACCGCAAACCCCACATGGGAGATGAGCTGGGCACTCTCCGTCAGCCAGTGCTGTATGGCCTGGGTGCCCAAGAACATCTCCTGCAGGCTGTGGAACATCTGCCACACCACGTAGTGGGAGGCCTCCCACACCAGCTCCTGGGGAAAGTCGCTGAGCTCTCAGAGGCGCTTCTCGATCTGCAGGCACCTGCTGTAGCGGGTGACATCGTACACCATGGTCATCATCATCTGCTTTACCACCATGCGGCTGACGAAGCCTTCGAGGGCCTGGGCCACCTACAGGCCTTGATCTGCATCGTGCCTGCACAACACCTCCACCTGTGCAGTGACCCCGCTGTACAAGTCTAGTGGCAGGTCTGAGTGCAACAGGTTCATCGAGATGGCGCCCACGCTGTCGTGGCCCAGGGCAGTGTAGTGCTGCAGGCCATTGCAGGAGTCATCCTGGCGCACCTGGAGATAGGATACGTGGGCAGTGGGGTTGGAGGTTCACACGGTGCATGCCACCTCCATGCAGTAGGCCTGGGCTTGCCAGAGCTTGTCTGCCTCCATCTACCATTTGTGGACCATCAGAGGGTGCCACCGAGTCCAGGATATTGTCCATGACCTCGTTGGTGAAGGCCAGGCGGGTCTGCAGGGACTCGAACTTCTTGAGCCCTGTGAGGTTTACTAGGTGGATTTTTGAGCCAGTCGAGCCTGTGGGGGCCCAGTGGGCAGCTGTTGGCGAATTCCAGCAGGCTGCACACCAGGTCCCTGCCCAAGTGGTTGAAGTGGGGTGTGTAGGGGTAGGTGTGGCCCCAGAAGTACATATTGTGGGGCAGCCAGAAGACACAGTGCTGCAGGTGCTGGGCCAGAGAGAGGTGATACAGGGTGTCTGCCCTCAGGCTGTGCATCTCCCTCACCATCTTCAGGCAAAGTCCCGCCTTGGGGGTGAGAGATCTGTGGGGTGAGGGTGGCAGGCGGCCCTTTTGGGGCCAGGAGGCCTCTGAGAGCAACAGAGGTATTCCCAGGCAGGGACAGCCCTTGGCCCTGAAGAGCTGCAGCACCAGGTCCAGCATGCAGCCCTTAATGCTCCAGGCGCAGTTCCCAAACTGGGTGAGGATGTCCAGGGCTCCATGCAACCGGGCGGGCAGGCAGTGCTCCAGGAGCCGCTGGTGCTGCATAGTGCCCACCACTGCCCACATCAGCTTTGTGGGGCTCGACAGGAAGGCCTAGGTGTGTTGTGAAGTCCAGGGCACCTCGGGGGGAGCACAGCATGGGCATCTCAGCTGCCTTGAAAGTCAGTGTGGACTCGGCCACAGCCACTAGCCCCTGTGGAGTATCTGGGTGCAGCTTCAAGATGCCAATCTGGTGGAAGCTGAGGAAAGAGTACACATGGTACAGCACCGGGATGAGCCTGCAGAAGCCCTGGGGCGGAGCCAGATTGCACATCTGCAGTGCCTGAACCAGCACTTCTGCCACCTGCTTGCCCAGTTGCAACACCACCCAGAGGGGCCAGGGCTGCCGGAGTAGGGCCACGGGTGTTCCCAGGCCCTCCCAGCACTGCCACAGCAGGCAGGGCTTGGCCACCTGGGTGTCAGAGGTCAGCAGGTACAGACACAGCAATTATTGCCACTCCAGCTGCCACATTTCACTGCTGAGCTGCTTGCTCTGCACCATGTGCCAGATGAAGGTCTGCAGGCTCAGGTCGTGGGTCAGGGTGGTGAGGGACTCCCCCTAGGCGGGCAACACCTGCAGGGTCTATATCAGCATCTGTATGAACTCTCTCGCTGAGCAGGCACAGGAAGGGGTAGAATGAAGGGCAGCCTTCATGGGCCTCCAGCCCAGTTTGGCCTTGGTCTCCTGCAGTGGCGGGTGCAGGACCACCACCCACTGTGCACACAGGGCCTTCAGGGTCTGTCTCATATGCAGGGTTTTTCTGGTGGGTGGCAGGGCCGTCTCCACGGACTTGGTATGTATGCTGCTGCCCAGCTCCGTGAGGAGCTGCTTACGGAAGCGCTTCTGCAGGGTCTTCAGGAGTAGGGGAAACTTTGGGTAGGATGCAGGGCAGTTGGAGGTGTAGACCTCCCTGAGCAGCATCAAGGTGTTGAGCTGGGACATAGGCCATGGAGGGGGAGAGGCAAAAGTGGGCTCCACTTTGACCACAGCCCTCAAGAGCAGCATCCGCTCCTCCTCAAACAAGGGTGTGGCAGTAAAGAGCTATGCCAGTAGTATCCCACCCTGGCGCATCTGCTGCAGACACCTTCTGACAGTGCCAGCGTCCTGGTCCAGCTGCCCCATGCACTGCAGGGTGGCAATATAGGACCGTGGTTTGGGGGTGAGGCCAGCGTCACTCACCATGAAGAGCACATACACCAGCTCCCAGAAGGAGCCCTTGAGAGCCCAGTTGAGCAACACAGTGCTGTACATGGTGAGTGTGAGCAGCTGTTACCTCTGGGGCCTGCTGTGGTAGCTGACCATCATGTGGTGGGCCAGGGGCAGGTGGTCAGTGAGGAGGCAGCATTCAAAGAAGGCCAAGAGCCTCTGCTGCTGCCCCGAGAGCAGCGCTTGCCTGTGGGCCAGGGCCTGCGCCTCCTTGCGGATCAGCTTCTGAGGGATATCCTGCAGGGCCTGGGCCTGCCACTACTCCCATTGGCTCTCAGGAGCCCCTCGTGCCCCCTGTTGCAGGTAGCTGGCCAACTGCTGGATCAGCATCTGGGGTTCCACGCTCAGGGGCCTGGGCTGCAGCCTGTGGGCCTGCTGTTGGGTGCATACCTTCAGCTCCACCTCCAGCTGCTGCCTGTGCCTCTGCAGCACCTGCTTCTCTTTGTCCAGTTTGTTTGTCCAGTGGCTGTAAGGCTCTGGCACAGTGCCAGTCTGGGCCTTTCTGGGTAGCTGGAGGCCGCCATCCCCACCGCCATGCTACCTCTATCCTCTTTACCTTCACCTCCAACACACTCTTGGCATATAGCTGCCGCACTGCACTTCCAGAAGAGAGACTGAGAGGAGACTGGTGGAGGGTGACACAATGTGATTCACATGGCTAGAATCTTCCACTCTGGGCTTTGCCTCCAGCAGCTAATTGGGGCCCCAGTCCTGGAGGTCTTGCTCACAGGGGCTGGCCAACAACCTCCGGCTGTGGCACAGGGCGCCCCCAAGGGTCCCTCCAGTGGGGCAGCCAGAGGGCCACAGATCCTGCCAAAGCTCCACTGCGTGGCAGCCCCAGCACAGTGCCAACATGCAACCTACCCCTCTTCTTTTTTTTAAAGATTTATTTACTTGAAATCCAGAGTTACAAAGGGGGAGGGGAAAGAGAGAGAGAATCTTCCATCTGCTGGTTCACTCCTTAAAAGATCTCAATGGCAGGGGCTGGGTCAGGCCTAAACCAGGAGCCAGGAGCTTCTTATGGATCTCCCACATGGGTACAGGGGCCCAAGGACTTGGGCTACCATCTGCTGCTTTCCCAGGCACATTAGCAGGGAACTCGATTAGAAGTGGAGCAGCTGAGACACAAACCAGCTCCCTTATGGAAGGCTGGCATCGAAGGTGGCAGCTTAACCTGCTGTGCCACAATGCCCATCCCGGTAGTGGGTTTTTCATATATCCCCTTTACCAATTTTCAAAAGTTATTTTCTATTCCTGGTTTGTTGAGTGTTTTTCATCATTAAAGATGGTTTGATTTTGTCAAATATATACCTGTATTAGTTGAGAAGACTGTGTTTTTTTTCTTCATAATATGTTGCATTACACTGATAAAATTTCATACTCTAAATTATTTTGGAATTCCTGGAATAGATTGCATTTGATTTGGTCATGATATCTAATTCTTTTTATAAGTCACTGTATTTGGCTTGCTGGTATTTTGTTGTGCCTTGTTTTCAACCGTATGCATAAGAGATATAGGCCTGTCTTTGGTATGGGGGTGAAGTTAGTTTTACAGCATGAGTTAGAAAAATGTTTCCTCTTCACCTTGTTTTATGGAAGAATTTGAGAAAGAATGCTGTTGTTTTTTAAATGTTGGTACAATTCCCAAGTGTAATCATCTGATTTTGAAATAATTATTATTTCAGTAATAATCTAAACATGACCCAGAATTCACACTATTGGATATTCACTTTAGAAAAATTAAAATTTATGTCCACACAAAAACCTACACACTAGTTTCCACAGATGATAGGACTCGTCATAGTGAAAAACTAGAATCAACTCAGATGTGAGATTTACAGATTCTTCAATGTGTAAATAAAAGAAATCGTGGGGGCAGATGTTTGGCATAGCAGTTAGATGCTACTTGGGATGTTTGTACCTCATATTGAAGTGCCTGAGTTAAAGTTCTGGCTCTTCTCCCAAATCCAGATTCTTGCCAATGTGCACCTTGGAAGGTATCAGGTTATTGCTGTAGTATCTGAATCATCTCAACCTGAGAGGAAGACCTGGATTGAGTTCTGGGCCCCTGGGTTTGGCTGAGCCCAGCCCCGGCTGTGGTAAGCATTTGAGGAGTGAATCAGTGGATGTGAGATCAATGTCTATTTCTCTCTATCACTCTGCCTTTTAAATACCTGTGCTATATCCATAGTTTGGTATATTATTGAGTAATTAAAAAGAATAATTGATAGATACAATAACTTGAATGCTCAGGAAAATATGCTCAGTGAAAAATCTAGATCCAAAAGGTCACATATCACATGATTACATTCATAACATTTTCAAAATTACCAAATTATTGAGATGGAAAATAAATGGTTATCAGATTTTAGGAATAAGGTTCTAGTGGAAAGGCAGTGCATGTTATAAAATGACAACACAAGGGTTCTTAGTGGTGATGGAATTATTCTATATCTTAAGTGTGGAGGTGTACATAAGAACTTACATGCGTGATAAGGTTGCTAATAAATACTCACATAAACACAAATGAGTACAAATAACACATGGAAAATATGAATGATATAGGTATACCAATATCTTGGCTGTGGTATTGTGCCATAGTTTTTCAAGATTTTACAATTTGAGAAAGTATGCAAGTAACATGTAGGATTTCTCTGTATTTCTTAAAATTGCATGTGATTTTTTCTTTTAAAATTGGAATCTTTCATGTTTAGCCAACTGTAAAAGATAGTGAGAACTAAATCTCTGCTGAAAATTTTAAAATATAAAAAGCAGAACAAAATCCATAAAATTATAGTGATGAAACCCCCAATCTTTCCCAAACACCCTTTCTGAGGGTTAAATAACTAATTTTAAAATTTACAAAATTTTTTGTGAATCTGTAATTATTTCAAAATAAAATTTAAACACACAATCTTTTAAAAGATTAAATTGATCCACATGTGACTTATTTGCTTGCTAGAACAAAGACTAAATCTGTCAAAGACGGCAAACCCCAAACCACAACAATATTTAATTCACAAGAATCAGAATATTTTTAAAATTGATTATGATTTTAATTCTTTTAAAGTGATGAATTTTACATAGTTTTGCATTAGAGTGGTGTTTTAAATAGTGAGGCTGGATGTGGTTATAAAGCAGTAAAGGTAACTGTGTCAATGAGTGTGCTTAAGTTCAGACAAAAATTACCACTAAGTCCACCTCACATAACACATACTCTAGACTACAATTGAGTTTGACGTCCAGCTGTCTCAAATTCAGGTTTCTTCAAGAGTTCAACATCAGTTGCAGGCTGTATATTGGATCCAAATGAAGTCTGGCCTAGGAACGGAGTTGTACTAAACTGAATTTGGGATGAGGCAATTTTAGCTTCAGAAGTAGCTGCTGGGGATGCTTCTGTAACCATTTTAGAGGGAGCTGATGGTCTACCCATGCTAGCTATTGGTAGAACTTGGAGTCTATCCTTATAAGCTACAGGATGATTCTGAAACATTACTGAATCACTGACAGGTTGATTCTCAGATGTTGCTGCATAATATTCAGAAGAAGAAACCAAAGGTTCAATTGTACCAGTTGGCAAAGGAATCCATGTGCTATTATCTTGATCTAAATGTTCAGTTTTATTGTCTGCATCAGACTCCTGGGACTGAGTTGTGATATCAATGCTTTCATCTGAAGGAATGATGCTCCAGGGTCCTTCCTCGCTATGTGGAGAGAAATGCACTGTTGATGTACTTCTTCCGGAAGTAGTGGATTGATTCCAAGGTACACCTGCATAGACCCCAAATGAACTCAAGTGTCCAGTTGTATTGGTGGTCATTTGAGCCCAAGATCCATTTGTAGCATCATTAGGTTGAGCCCAAGATCCATTCGAAGAATCAGTAGGTTGAGTGGATGATCTGTTTATAGTAACAGTAGGCTGAACCAAAGATCCATTTGTCATATCAGTAGTTTGAGCCCAAGATCCATTTGAAGAATCAATAGGTTGAGTAGAAGATCTATTTGTAGTAACAGTAGGTTGAACCAAAGATCCATTTGTAGTAGCATTAGGTTGAGCCCAAAATCCATTTGAAAAATCAGTAGGTTGAGTCGAAGATCCATTTGTAGTAACAGTGGGTTGAACCAAAGATCTATTTGTAGTAGCATTAGGTTGAGCCCAAAATCCATTTGAAAAATCAGTAGGTTGAGTCGAAGATCCATTTGTAGTACCAATAGGTTGAACCAAAGATCCATTTGTAGTAGCAGTAGGTTGAGCCCAAAATCCATTTGAAAAATCAGTAGGTTGAGTCGAAGATCTATTTGTAGTAACAGTAGGTTGAACCAAAGATCCATTTGTAGTAGCATTAGGTTGATCCCAAGATCCATTTGAGAAATCAGTAGGTTGAGTCAAAGGTCTATTTGTAGTAACAGTAGGTTGAACCAAAGATCCATTTGTAGTAGCAGTAGGTTGAGCCCAAGATCCATTTGAGAAATCAGTAGGCCGAGTCGCCAGATCCATTTGTAGTAACAGTAGGTTGAACCAAAGATCCATTTGTAGTAGCATTAGGTTGAGCCCAAGATCTATTTGTAGAATCAATAGGTTGAACTAAGGATCCATTTGTAGCATCAGTAGGTTGAGTCCAAGATCTATTTATAGTATCAGTAGGTTGAACCAAAGATCCATTTGTAGAAACAGTAGGTTGAACCAAAAGTCCATTTGTAGTAACAGTAGGTTCAGCCAAAGATGGATTTGTAGTATCAGTAGGTTGAGTCCAAGATCTAGTTGTAGTATCAGTAGGTTGAACTGAAGATCCATTTGTAGTATTAGTAAGTTGAGCACAAGACCCATTTGTAGTATCAGTAGGTTGAGTCCAAGATCCAATTGCAGTAACAATAGGTTGAGCCCAAGGTACATTTATAGTAACAGTAGGTTCTGCAAAAGATGGATTTGTAGTATCAGTAGGCTGAGCCCAATATCCATTTGTAGTAACAGTAGGTTGAATCAGAGATCCAGTTGTACTATCAGTAGGTTTAACCAAAAATCGATTTGTAATATCAGTAGGTTGAGCCACAGATCTATTTGTAGTATCAGTAGGTTGAGTTAAAGATTGATTCGTAGTATCAGTAGGGTGAGCCAAAAATACATTTGTAGAATCAGTAAATTGAGCCAAAAGTCCTTTTATAGTATCAATTGGTTGAGCCCAAGATCTAGTAGTGGAAGCTGCATGGGAATTCCTGGGCTCATCCACATGTTCTATAGCGGAACTCCAGTGTTTCAGAATATCAGCCATGATTTGATCCCAAGATTCAACTTTATCACCCTCTGCTACATTAGTCTTAGAAGGAATATATGACATGGTTGTGTCAGAAACAAGTTGAGCTAAAAAAGGTTGAGCTGTGGTAGCTACTGGAGAATCCCATGAATCACCTGTATTTGGGGAAGGCCGGTAGTGATGATATTGAGCTAATTCATTTCTTGGATTTTCTGATAGTCTGGAAACAGGAGAAGTCCACAACTGCTCAACTAGGAACTTGCTATGTTCGGGGACCTGACTTCTTTCAGGCAAAAACTGATGATTGTTAGTGAAAGTATCTGTGCCATCAAAATGAAAGAATGTTGTGGAAGATTTTTTGAGATGTTCTATTAGTGGAGAAAAGCCTAAATTACCCTTCAAAGACTCTAGAGAGAATTTACTTGGGGCCAGGGGTGGGAGATAGTTATTGTCATGGCTGTTTGGGGGTACATGCGTACTCCCATGAGGTATCCTGCAGTATAAGGATGAAGTAGGATTCAGTGGCTTGGTTGCCTTGATGTACTGTTTCATCCAGGTAATGTAAGGGGATGTTCTGATGACAACTGTAGGGTTATGACAAATCCATGAGGATTTATGTATCAGGCCAACTAATTCCCAATGGCTCTTTAGGAGACACAAGACAGGACTGCCTTGTTGTACCTGAATAAGGAAATCATGATTAAAAAAAAAAGAAACACACACACAAATCTATGCATAATATGACAAATAAATCTAATGTGGTCTCTATTGTCAAGTAGCTCTCAAAAATTTACAATTTAGGACATGCACACACATAACTGAAACACAGAAAAATTGATGAGAGAGCATAGCAATGCTAGGGCTAATCATAAACTTTCAGATTCTCAGAACCAATTGTCTTATCAACACCAAATTTAAATGCCTAGTCATCCTTTCGAACTTAACATTGAAAAAGAACAAAAAACAAAATCCATGATTTTGTTAATATAAAATGTTCTGTATGGTTTTCTCTTTTGTTAATGACTACTGTATTCTTACAAAGGCCCAAGTAAAAGATCTTGAAGTCACATGTGATGCCTCTCCTTCCTTCATCCTCTTCCTTCATTCAGTTCATCAGCAAATATTGCCTTTGTCATCTTTGACAATTTTTTTTCCAAAATTCTATCCAGATCTGCTACTGCTGCTGTTAATGCATATAGTGCCTTTATGAAAAGGCACACTTCTCATCTACCTTAAATTTATTCTTAATACTGCATCCAAAATTATTCTTTCAAAATATGAGCATTACATCCTTCTTCTGAAAACACTCCAATGAATTTCAGTATGAGCAAGATTAAAAGATTAGTCCTTACAATGGTTTGCAAAATCCTGCACAATCTAGCCCACTTTCCCTCCTTAATTTCATCTATAGCTATTGCCTTATCTGGTCTGCTAAAACCACCTGGCCTCTTTCCTGTTATTTAAACAAGCTAGACATATTGCCGCTTTAGAATCTTTGTGTCGGTTGCTTCCTCTGCTTGTAACACGATTCTCCTGCTATCAACATGCCTTGCCTCATCACTTTCTCCACAACTCTATTCAAATGTTACTTCTTTACAAATCTTTACAAATAATTTTCCTGATCACATAATCCTATGGAGTGGAATTAAATCCAGACAGAATATATGTTTATGCTTAACTCATGTTACTGGTGTTTTAAATACAAACTGAGCTTGTATTTCAGTTGTTTTGACTTCAGGTTCTACATATAATTCAAGGTCACAGTAACCTATGCCCATGGTAATTATTATGAAGCAGTCTATTCAAAGCCATCAATCACCACGTGCCTCATTATATGTTTATTTTGATCACCCTTAAATATCATGTAAACCCCTGGCAAAAACGAACTGTTCTCTCCTCAATGCCGTTATACCAGCTCAGATTATATCATTATGACAAAACGGAGATTACATAATCACTTTCTCCAGAATGATTGCATCATATTCTTTCAATAGTTATTTTCTGTTGAGTTATTTTTCACACTCCAAAGTGATCTCTAAAATGTTAATTATTCAAAATCTGTCCATGACTCTCCATTCTCTAAATAATAAAGCCTTTGTTTTATAATGAGATAAATCATAGCTTCATAATCTTCCCAATTATTTATCTCTTACATCTGTCTCCACCCATACTCAAAATCATACTTCTTATGCACATGAAAGTATTTTTGAACTTCTCAGACTTGGCTTATTCTGCTCGTTTTAACTTGAATACCATCACCTTATTATCCTCCTTATCCCAATCAATGAATAGCTACTTATTTTTAACATGAGTTCACTTACTAATTTCAATACATTCTAAATCAATCACTCCTTCCTTTTACCCTCAGTGTTTATTTCACACTGTGTAGACATCTATCATGAATATACAGTATTTTATTATGCTTATTTACTGGCCTATTGTCTTTTTTTTTTTCTTTTTTTTTTTCTTTTTCTTTTCTTTTTTTTTTTTTTTTGGACAGGCAGAGTGGACAGTGAGAGAGACAGAGAGAAAGGTCTTCCTTTTGCCACTGGTTCACCCTCCAATGGCCACCGCGGCCGGCACGCTGTGGCCGGCGCACCACGCTGATCCAATGGCAGGAGCCAGGTACTTGGCTCAATAATAATGAGATCTCTTTGAGGGCAGAGACAATGCAGGATTCTTCAGAAATTCTCATCATACTGTAAGTTCTCTAGTGATTGGAACCAGTCTGTTTCTTTTAACTCCCTTATCAGACTATGAGTCTGGACATTGGTCTCTGTTACTTTTTTATCTCACTAAATAAATGCTTCTTCCAAGTCTTTTTTCAACCACATATTTCTAGAAATTAACACAAGGATTGATATTCAGTACATGTACACAGCAATAATATCTGTATTTACCTCATCCCCTGCTATTCCCAACCGCAAGTCCTAGCTCCTACCTCTTTAATTTTGTACTTGCTGTTTCCTCTATCTCTGTTTGAAATGTCATTCCACCCATTCTTGCTTAATTATGTCCTTCTCATCCTCAAGACTTATCTTTCAAGACTTATCACATCCTCCAATAATATAATCCATGATTCCTCAATTCAGGATAAGGCTTCCCTTGAAGTCTTTGCAATATTATTTGTGTGCATGCCTTCTAGTTTGCCAGGACAAGTATTGTTATTGTCCATAATACTTTTATCCTGATAGTACATAACAATTATTCTATACTATTTATGGACATTGAGAATATGAATGGTGAACTGAGTTGCATTTGTGTCTTTTACCTCCCCATCTAAATTTGAGCCATACAACTTTTATTATTGTGACAATGGAGAGACTATAATAAAACTTAAACAGAAAGATATGTTTTCTTTTTATGTTCCTTGGTTGTTTTCTGTATTTCTCATTGATTCTAAAGGGCTTTCCTGTGCCACACTCCACCTCAAGTATTCCCTGTGGTAAACTCCTCAAATGTTCAATGGAACTTCCCAGATCCGTTATTTGTTTGGGACAAAAGAATAAACTTCCATATGGCTTGTTATCTACTTGTTGCTTGCAAATTTATGTAATTCTACATTTCCCTCCCATTCTTGATGTTGCCCTGGTGCATGCATACCCAACAGTTCCGCCATTGTTGGCTCTGAACACACAAGCCCTCCATCTCTGTCAGGTCAAAATGTGGATAGCACAGCGACAGATCCACGAGTCGGACTGATACTTTCTTCACTCTTGTGATCCCCGACTGCTTGTTACCTGAGAAAATGGATGATGAATGATGTTGAGACCCAAATCATTCAATCTCTAGACTTAATTTAATATCACCCTGTTTACTGAATCACACAGATTTCCCAATACATTCTCCCCTTTCCTCTCTTTTTTCTTCTTCTCCATTAAAATCATATATTCTTCCTCTGTGCTTTATGAACTTCCCCCACCTCCCTTAATCTGAGAATAGAAGGAGTAATATACTGAAAGTACATAAAGCCAAACTGTGCCAATGCAAGATTTTGTAATAAGAAGCAAGACTAGTGTGCAAATATGCTAATAATTAGTGAAGTAAAGTAATAGGCACATGGGAGTTTGTTTAATTTTTCTCTGTACTTGTGTATATGTTTAATATCTTCCATAATAAAATGTTAGCTACAATATTCATTAAATAAAAGTTAAAAAAAGAAAAAAGGAAAAAAATGTTAGCTACAAAATCCTGTGGAAGAAGAAATGCTAACTTGTATATAACCCTAGAGCATGGCAATATGCAAGTATGAAAGTTTAATCTTGGAAATATTCCTTCCTTATTTTTGCTTCAGCTTATTCTCCAGTTAATTAGGGTTGTATAGAAAAGAATTTCCAATTTAAAAAAAAATTTAGATTCTTCTTGTACCTTCAAAGAAGCTTAGTTTCCTTGGAAAACTAATCATTAGAACTAAACTCATGAATTGTGTACCCTGCTTCCTTTTACTTACTCCAGTACTGATACACCTGGCAGCTTCTATATAGGCACTTAGAACAGCTCTTCAAGGAAATGCCTGGAGCATGAGATAGTGATACTTCATCCCAATGGATAGGCACTGCAAGAAGAACGAGGCCTAGATCTGCTTTGGCTGGATGTTTTCCATTTGTGGGGTCAAACCTGGGATGTAGGCAGATCTTTTGGCCATGCAAGATGTTCTGTGGATCGATGATTCCTGAAATGCTCAGGTTTGACAGTTTCCTAATGCCAGGATAAGAAGCATAACATTATAGTTGATAATAGAATAAAAATTACCCATTACACTTTAATATGAAAGATATTGAAAGCATCTGTGACTCAGTACTTAACTTTTTTGGCAACATTATTAAATAGGTTGTGTTATTACAATACTATGTCTATTCAAGGTCTGTACTAGGTTTTTGGTCTCTCCATATCTCTGTTGCTCCCACATCAACTTATTGATCCTGAGAAAGTTGCTTTATGTGCTTGGATCTTAATGACCTCTTCTACAAACTCATGAAAGAAGGATTGCTTATTCAAATTCCACGCTGGCTTTAGCCTTTTCCAAGTTAAGAATAAGTCCTTTCATTTAAAGGGTCAAAATTAGTGAGATTGAGGAGGGCACAGTTGATACAAGATTAATACTCTAATAATTCTGGAAATGAAGCAATAGATACATGGATGTTGACTTCTCTTTTCTCTCTATTTGCATATGTGCTTAATTCTTTCCATACTAAAATGTTAAACACAAAATCCCATGGAGAAGAAATGCTAACTCATGTGCAATTCTAGTACATGGTATTATGCAGTTAAGAAAAGAGGAATTATTAAAAACTCCGAGAGGGCAGAGAAAAGAGTATGCATTCAGTTTAGGAGAGTGTAGAGTATAAATAGGTGAATCAAGAGCTACTGAGATATTCCAGAATCAAAATCATAAATATCTGTACTGGAACCATAGAAGTAGTGTATGAAGGTATAGAGTGGAACTGAAAGACATTATAGAGGATATAAATCAGCAGTATTTTGCATCGGACTTGATGTGAGATTAAATAGGAATGGAAGAATTCTGGTTTAAAGCATTAGAGGTGGATAGGATGATGATGCCACTACCAAGACAGAAAGACTTGCACTTTGCTTTGTATGTATGATAGAATCTAATTTTTTCAGATGGCAGATAAGACCTTCCTTTATCTTTAATTAAATGTGTTAATCTCTTCCTAGGACTATCAAGTCTTCAAGAAAAGAGAGTGCATCATTCATCTTTGATTCCCCAGAAGTTAGCTCTTATCCTGACAAAAATGGACACTGCATATATGTTTTTCAAGAGGATAAAGCAGGAGAGCAACATGGAAGGAGAGAACCGTGGAAACAAAAAAGGAAGCTGGCTAAAGAGAAGTAGCAAGTCTGTTACCTGATTTCAGTAGCAGAAAAAGGATATATATCAACATCTTCTTCGTTGTGTTTCTCTGGAAGGATCCACCAATATACAACCTGAAAGGAAAATTCACCTAACCCTTACCCAAGTCTCAAGAGCACTTGCTCTTCCCCTACTCACGTCTTCTGCAGGCAGTTCGCTGTAGAAAGAACCCACCATCGAGTCAAAACTGTTCCCTGACAATTTCCAGACATAGACACCAGCCATGATGCATCAATGGAGTTAGCCAGTAGAGATACCCTTGGGCTCAAGAAACTTGAGCGAAGCCACAGCTTCTCAGTTTCAGGCACTGCAAAGAGTATGATAGGGATAAGAATGGGTTAAGATAACGTGAAAACGAATTCAATCTTCCAATGCTGTTGAAATTTCTGATTTTAGATATAACTACTCAATTTGAATGACCTCAGCTATAACATTTCTTTTTCCCACTCTATGTTGTCTCATTTCTTCTACCTATGTAACTACATTTGTTTGGGTGGGTATAAGCGTGTTATCTACCATGATCACAACCTGATGCTACTGTTCCCTTCTTCTTTGAGGATTTGTTTAGTGAAATACAGATTTAGCAAAATATGTAGTACCAAAAGTTATTCTATTTGATTTAGAGACAATAAAAGAGGGAAGAAAACTTAGAGAGTAGAAGAAGGAAGTGGAAATAGAGGAAAAGGGTGTCTAAAATCAGAAGGGGAAAAAGAGAACAGGAGGAAATACTAGAGTATGGAGTAGGTCAACTAGTTTGGAAAGGAGTATGAAGTAAAATAGAGAAAAGGAAAGTAACAGAAAGTATGTTTTCATAAATTCAAGAAAAAGAGAAAGAGAAAAGGATGTCCACATGTCTATGACTTACCAGAATTACAGTAAGAAACCAGACACAAGACATAGTAGAGCCAAAGTGCAGCTTTCATGCTGCCTCAAGTGGGAGATAAGAGATGAAGCTCCTGAGGCAGTAGTAGCCTAGCAATATACAGGCAGAGTTCAAAGATTCTGGAAGGTCTGACATCATGACATCTTCTGTGAGATCACTTCCTGCCCTCTTCTGCTGTTTAAGGTGGAGAGCTGTTTAAGGTGGAGAATTAGAGGCAACAATATGCTTCAAAAGCAAACATTTTATTTTTTAACTTCTAAGACTGAAAAATTGATGTTAGTCTTAGTCCAGTATGCTTTAAGAAACCCTCCTTTCCTTTACATGGACTGAGTGGTTACTATCCCTTTGGTACCTTCATGTGTCCCCAACATAATCACATTACCAAGTACTTTTTTCAGGTGTTTCTCACTTCTCTCTTTCAGATTTTTATGATGACTTACACATCACTAAACTCAAAGATCTTTCCCACATACACTCTCTGTTTCATTATCTGATTAATGCTGAAAGAAGGATTTTTTGTTGTTGCTTTTATTATTTCTGGAGAACCTCTTCAATAAAACCCTGCCAATCCTGATAGCATGGAATATTAATTGCAGTAAAAAGGAATATTGACCTACTCAATAATTTGAATGGATCACAAGGAATTTATGTTGGAAAAGAGAAGTCTCAAATGATTCTATGATTGCATTTATATTAAACTCTTGAGAAAAATAAAGAAATGGAGAACATCAGATATTAGCAGTTGTCATGGTTTAGGGAAGAGATTTAAAGCAGGATGGGCATTTCAATGAAGGAGAAAAAATATTCAAGAATGAAATAATTCTGTATCATGATTGTCATGGTGGTTATAACTTATATATGTTAGAAATTTCATGGAGCTATATACATACACAGAAATAAATGAATACATGTAAAGCTGGTGATATCTGAATAAACTGTGGTGTGTACCAATATAATTTCAATTATTCTGACATTGTACTAGAGTTATACAAAATGCTATCATTTGGAGGAGGTGGGTGAAGGATATACAAGACCTTCCTGCATACTTTTAGCAACTTCCTATAGTTATTTCAAAACAGAAAGTTTAAAAAGTCATTTGAGTATTGTCTTAGTCCATTTGTGCCGCTACTATAACAAAATATAGATGGGGTAAGTTATAAAGAACAGATATTCATTTCCCATGGTTTTGCAGGCTGGAAAGTCCACAATCTGGACTGCTCTGGCAGGTTTAGTATCTAGTAAAGGCCTGTTCCTCATAGATGGTTCAATCTACATGTTCTCACATAATAGAAGGGGGAAGGCAAAAAATGTCTTCACATGGAAGAATAGCAAAAAGAAAGAGTACACTCTTTCAAGTTAGAGCCCTTTTCTTTTTTTAGAAGCCTTTTATTTAATGAATATAAATTTCAAGAGTACATCTTTAGGAATACAGTGATTCTTCCCACCATACCCGCCCTCTCACCTCAACTTCCTTCTCCTTCCTCCTTCCTCTCCCATTCCCAGTCCCATTCTTTATTAAGATTTATTTTTAATTAATTTTATACATAGAAGGCCAACTCTATACTAAGTAAATATTTCAACTATTTGCATACATGCAAACACTAAATATAAACAAATTGAGAACAAGTTTTGCAGTTGAATCTCATATTATGACTCATTTAGGACAGAGGTCCTGCATGGGGAGTAAGTGCACAGTGGAACCTGCTGTTAATTTAACAATTAACACTCTGATGATGTCAATGATCACCAGAGGCTCTTGACGTGAGTTGCCCAGGCTATGGAAGCCATTGAGCCCTTTTTAAAGGATGATAATCTCATTTTTGAGGGCAGGGCCTGTATGACATAATTACCTCCTAAAGGTCTCACTTCTTAACTTCGTTGCATTATATATTAAGCTTCAATATGAATTTTGTAGACACACCATATTAAAACCATAACAAGTATGTCTATATGAATTTATTTCTGGAATATCTCTTCTACTATATTGACTTGCATAACTTTCCTGTGCCAATATCATGCTTTTATTTTGATTAATGTAGTTATATAGGAAGCCTTATAGGAGGTTCAGTGATTCCTTCCACTTTATTATTTTTCAAAATTGTTTTAGCCATCCTAGGATCTCTGGCATTTTGTGTAACTTTCACAATAAGCTAATATATATGTATGTGACAAATTTTTCTGTGATTTTGATAGGAGTTCCATTAAGCTTAAACATAATTTTAGCAGAATTAGCATTCTTACTATATCTAGAATACTATATTCCAATATGTAAATAAATGTCTCTCCATTTATTTACATCACTGTAATTGCTTTCATCAGCGTTTCCAAATTTCATCATAGAGATCCTGTGCATACTCTGTTAGATTTAGACATATGTCTATATTTTTTTTGACAGATAGAGTTAGACAGTGAGAGAGCATACCCCGCAAATGGCTGCTACGGCCGGCGCGCTGCACTGATCAGAAGCCAGGAGCCAGGTGTTTCCTCCTGGTCTCCCATGTGGGTGCAGGCGCCCAAGCTCTTGGGCCATCCTCCACTGCCTTCCTGGGCCACAGCAGAGAGATGGACTGGAAGAGGAGCAAATGGGACTAGAACCCGGCACCCATATGGGATGCCGGCACCGCAGGCAGAGGATTAACCAAGTGAGCCATGGCACTTGCCCCTAGACCTATGTGTTTTTAAGCAATGTAAAATGATATTATGTTTTTAATTTTGGTTTCCACATGTTTGCCTCTCATACATAGAAATATGAATAATTTTGTGTGATGATATATATCCTGCAATCTTTATTAACTCATTTGTTACTCCTAGGGCTTTTTGAAAGAACAATTATATAGAAAATCATGTCATCTACAAGGAGAGAAAGCATTACTTCTTTTCAAATATTTATGCCTTTTATTTTGTTCTACTGCATTATTGTTGTTAACTCATTGGGTAGTGCTTCCAGTGAAACATAGAATACAAATAGAAAAAGCAAATATCCCTCCCTGTTTTGTTCTTGATTCTTCTATCATTATTCAGTATGATTTTACCTGTAATTTTAATTGGCTGACAGATTTTTATCATGAATCAGTCTTGGATTTATCAAGTGATTTTCTGCATCTTTATTTTATTTATTTTTGGTTAATTATATTGTGATAAAACAGAACATATTCTGTATTATTTCAGTTATTTTGAATTTGTTGAGACTTCTTTAATGACCCAAGATATGATCTATTTTGATAAATTTTTCATGAGTACTTGAAAGAATGCATTTTCTGTTGTTCGTATGTAGAATGTTTTTACAAATGTCTATTAGATCTTGTTGATTGATGATTTGGTTTAGTTCTTCTGGTCCTTTCTGGTTTTTTACCAGTTATTAAAATAGGAGTCTTGAAATTCTCAATGATAATTGTAGATTTGTTTATTTTTTCTTTCATCTTATAATTTTTACTTCATGTATTTGAGGTCCTGTTGATTGATAGACATTTACCATTATCGAATTTTAATATTTTTATAAACTATTTTATCATTATATAGTTCTCTAAGTCTTGCTGGTTTTGTTTTATCTGATGCCTATTTTATATAATATTTATATACTCATTACTATATTCATCATGGATATTGATCTATACTTTTCTTCTTTTGTTGTGTCCTTGTCTGCTTTTGGTATCAGGATAATGCTGGCCTTGTAAAATGAGTTCAGAAGTATTCCATCCTCTTCAGTTTTCTAGACTACTTGAGAATTGGTATGAGATCTTCAAAATTTGATAGCTTTCAGCAATGAAAGCATCAGGTTCTGCCTTTTTTAATGGATGCCTTTTTGTTGCTAACTAAATATCTTTACTTGCTATTAATCTGTTCAGATTTTCTAATTCTTCATAATTCATTGTTGTTTTTATGTGTTCAGGAATTTATTTCTTCCAGTTTATCTAATTTATTGGAGAATAACTATAATAGTCTAAAATGATCCTCTGAATCTGTTTTATCATTTGTAATGTTTCTTTTCTCATTCCTGATTTTGTTTGAATATCTCTTTTTTTCTTTGTATAGATAAAGGTTTGTCAATTTTGCTCATCTTTTCAGAAAAAAAAAACTTCTTCATTACATTGATCTTTTACATTGTTTCTGTAATCTCTATTTTATTTACTTCTGCTTTGATCTTTAATGTTTTATTCCTTCTATTAATTTTGGTCTTAGTTTTTCAATTTTCTTAAGGTGTGGGCTTTTATTGATATGAACTTCCCTTTTCAAATTGCTTTTTCTTTCTCTCTCTCTTTTTTTTTTTTTGACAGACAGAGTGGACAGTGAGAGAGAGAGACAGAGAGAAAGGTCTTCCTTTGCTGTTGGTTCACCCTCCAATGGCCGCCGCGGCCAGCATGCTGCGGCCGGCGCACCGCGCTGATCCGAAGCCAGGAGCCAGGTGCTTCCTCCTGGTCTCCCATGCGGGTGCATGGCCAAAGGACTTGGGCCATCCTCCACTGCACTCCCGGGCCACAGAAGAGAGCTGGACTGGAAGAGGAGCAACCGGGACCGAATCCGGTGCCCTGACCGGTACTAGAACCCGGTGTGCCGGCACTGCAGGTGGAGGATTAGCCTATTGAGCCACGGCGCTGGCCAATCCCAACACTGTCTTCTTAACATCAAAGCCTCCTATCCCTAACTGTGTATCATAACCAAAGCTATTCAATCACATTGTTTAGGATATGATAAGTAAATACCAGAGCCTAGCAAAAAATGTAATCAATAAAGTCCAACTCCCTAGCTGGTGCCAAATTCAAGCAGATTATCGTAAAGCCAGATATGATGGATAGGATCAGATCACTATTTTAAGTTTATAGCTCTAAAAATGAAATAATATAAAACCTATTAGTTGTTTTTTAGTTCCAAATACTAAATGCTGTAGATGATGAGGAAGTTATTGAACATGACAATGAAGGGGAAAAAGAAAAGAAGTTACAGAAGAGGACCCGTCATACATCCCAAAAATGCCTGTGCATATATCCTCTTCATTTAACAGATGTATACTTACACACAGATCCACAAAGAACATTTATTTAGCAGTGTAGCTGCCATGGTTTCCCCAGAGACATAGACGAGCATGGCAGATGCTATCTGCCTGTGTTCA